CAGCCCGGCCCCCGCCCCGGCCCCGCCACCCCAGGAAGCGTAAATCCTGGTCTGTGATGGCACACAGAGACCTCAGGGATCTGTCTGAAGTCCATAAAGGAAAACCACTATTTCCTAGAGGAAAACCCCCTCGCTATCAAAGCTTGGAGGAGGCCTCCTTCAGCAGTGAACCGGGGCCTGATTTAAAACAGCTGTACCAAACCCCCCCAACTCCCCCAGACGCCACCAGCCCAGCCATCCAGCTCGGCAGAGGGGACAGGCCTCTGCTTTATCATTGCCGAAAGGCAGCGATGGGTTGGGGTGCAAGGGTCACCTCTCACCTCCAAACATTTCTAGTAAGTACGGACCCACTGGGCCACAGCTGGAGAGCCGGGAGAAGAGTTTGAGCGAGCCAGCTAGAGAGCCCTGCACAACAACACGACATCTCTCGGGCCATTTGGGTCTCCATCAGTGTCCCGACACCTTTGGCAGGACATAAACATTTTGGCAGGTATTGTGCCCGCCTTGCCTGTGACCTTCTTTCTGTGTTTGAGACCTCATCTTTGACGGCCTGAAAATCTCTTCCCTTTTAATTTGACTGAGCCATATTTTCCTTCTCTGGAGGTCTACATTGACCTAAATGACAAGTTCCTTTCATGATTATATACACGGGTCTAAATGCAGGTGACTCATTCTGCTTTACCTTCTGGAGACGTCAGTAAGGGCTTTGTCCTGAAATGGACAGCTTTGTGACTAGTTTCAGTAAGTCTTGTGTTTCTAAGCATTAAAGAGGATTTAAACTTTTTTATATACATATAGGATTAAGTGAACTTCTAGTCCAGTGTCAGATCTTTTTCATTTTTTTAAGAGTTCAATCTCAATCAGACATCTAGGGATTTACTGTCAAGCTTGTCTCAAACAATTCCCACATCATCATCGTTTCATACTGTTTCGGTAATAGCCTTGTTTCATTCACATGATTGCATTATGGTTTTGGCTGAGGTAGTGATAGCTGTGAAATCCTACTCTGCAGGTAAGCATTCAAATGTATCCCAAACAATACACATGATGGGAGCAACAACTATCTCACAATTGTTTTTGTTTCTAGGTATTCTTGAAATAACCGCTGTTGATGTTGGAATCGTTGCCATCAAGGGGTTGTTCTCTGGCAGATACCTGGCCATGAACAAAAGGGGCAGACTTTATGCATCCGTAAGTTTTACTTAAGACTGGCATGTGCCTGTCATTTCCTATTTGGAGAACATGGTCAAATGGGGAGCACTGATTTCTTATAAGTAAACATTTATAGATGTAAGATGAATGCGTTAACAGATTTCTATCTGCAATAGTTACAGGTAACCAATCAGTGTATTTTTGAAAGTGGAAAGAAGCTGTGTTCTTACTTTCTTATTGCCTGTACAGCCAAAGTCAGAAGAATGTATTTGGCAAAAGCATTACACATGACCAAAGTCCTGGGAAATTGTGTGCACTGATAAAGACTGCAGGAGCCAGCCTTTGCAGTGCAAAATGTCCATCTTTATTCAAAGTTCTCCATATTTGTATTTGATGTGGATCTTGGACACTGGCAGAGTTTGGTTGGGCAGTGAAAGAATTTACGTGTACTAAAAGCAGGGCTAACTGCAAGGAAAGGAAGGATGAGAAAGTGCAAGAGGATAAAGGTGAAAATAAACACCTTATTCTACTCCTTTGACCTAATTTCTTTGCCCTGATCTTTGAGGTAGTATCGGGACTCTACTGATATTAGTGGGAGTCTTGCCTTTTCAGCCCTGCCAATATTGCCCCTCAGTGAATAAAGTACTTTAGCTTACTCTTCTTCACGTGCAGGGACACTAAGCCATGTTTGTCAGTGTGTATACTGTACACATTATCTACCTACTTGAATTTCTTCCATTGTCTTTGATTACATCCCTAGCAATCTTGTGATCTCGGACTGTGTAACAGCCATACTGTGCAGTTTCTCCAGGAAACCTGTGGTATGGAAACAGATTTGAAGAGGCTGAAATATGGTTCTGTGAAATTTTCTTCTTGCAACTAGTCATTATATGTAATTCTGTTGATTTGAACAGCGTGATATATCCTCGAGCAATGTGAGCTTTTTCCATGTGAATGCAACCTAGGTAACACAATCAGCTCACCCCCCTGGTTTAACCTATTTTACTCCACCTTTTCAAGAATGTTCTGACAGTGTTTAGGGCCCAGTTTCTGTACTGTGTGATGCACACCGATTAAAGGGGCTATGTGTAAAGATGATGGGTCTTTGCTGGTGTGGAGAAGCAGGTCACAGGGAACTTGGGCAAAAGAAATTGCAGCTCAGGTGGAACGAGGACATACCAACTCTGCTGTGCCAGGGCTAAGGCTGGCCACTTGTATACTTCCAGTTAATATTTTGATTAAAATTGGCATCTTTTTCAATGGAGCTCCTCCATCAGCTCAAAGAAATTAATGGGAAGGATGAATTTTCAAAACCTTTCTTATCTTTATCTCTTTCTTGTTCAAAGTATGTTTTTCCTCCAGATTATTTAAACTGAATTAAAATAAGACTAAACAATTTCTGAGCAAAAAACTCCTCTTCTTGTCTGAAGAAAAGCCCAGAGAGTCCTTTTCTCCTGGACCTCCCTTCTAGTGTGGGGAGCACCAGGCCATCCTGATGTTTGTTCAGCTGTCATGTGCCAAGGAATATCAGCCATGAAAGGTTTCTGTACAGCCAGAAAAGACAATTTTTGCTGCTCCAGCTCAGGTTTGAGAGAGATTGTTTCAGACTTGTGTTTCAGAGTTAGAGGGACGGTCCAGGAGAAGTTATTCTACTCCAGCTTTTTTTACAGAAGCAGCAAAGAGTGAGGGCTGAGCTCAGGAGAAACTTCCTGGCTCTGCTTGCCTAGAAAAAACTAACCAATGACTTTACTGATGTTATTGTTCCAGGAACCTATGCAAGGCCCCTATTTCAAATAAGACTGACTTCTTTGGGGATAATTATACAGGGAAAATTTTATGAAATTATATTGGTACAACTCCATTATCCCTTGGGTCACCGATTTTCCCATGCCAATAAAATGTGTTGGTGGAGTCTGCAGAATTCCTTTGTGTCCTTAGCAGATTGTGATAATCCTCTAGGTTTATCCTCTGTGATTAAACCCTCTACAGCCAGAACTGAGGCAGACAGCAGGACAAATCTACCTACATATGGTAGCTGCGTGGGCTTCAGCACCACAGCATATGATAACCTTGTCCTCGCAAGGAAGGGCACTTCCGTTTTACAGCTGTGAAGCTGAGACATGTGGAGTCTTTTAAAATCTTGTTAAATGCCTATCAGCATTTCTGGTGAGTGAACAGCATTAAAGACATTTTGTTAATGGAGCCTATGGCTTTTCTGGCCCCAGCTTGGCTACCCATGCCTTTTCCATGTCCTTCAGAGAGGCGATGTGAAATAAAAAACCTCCATAAAGACCATGGTAGCAGTTGCCCTCTGCCTCTGTGCCTTACACGTTAGGTACTGAAGTTATAATCACAGAGGCATGGCAAAGATGATTTTGTAGTTAAGAAAAGATGTACAGTGTAGGAGGACCTTTATTTGCACTGTCCTTATTGCTCCCAGGGAGGAAGGAGGAGTTCCTTGTTCCAGGCTTTTGCAGTTTTGTAATTTTGCAGCCTCTAATTTCACACCTTTTTGCAGGTGTCTCTAATTACGAATATACCAAGAGTCACATTTGACATTAAACTGTAGGATTTTACTTTTAATAGATGTCAAAGATTGTTAGGCAGCAACTAAATAATCCGTCCACTTCACAGGCATTTTTAGATCCCTAAGGAAAGAAAAAATGTACAGCTGAACGATCAGCAGAGATATTAATTCCTATTCACATGTCATTTTTTGTTTTCAGTTTGGGTTTTGGCCTCTTCCTGCCTCTGATCCACAAAGCATGCTCACACTGCTGATGGGGAGCACCCTGTTGCACAGCAGTTCAGGCTCAGCGTTTGTTTTCGGCTCAGTTTTGCAGCACCAGTCTGTTTTTCTTACTACACGTGTTGCTGTCCTTACCCTAAAGCTGAGTAGAGTTTTGCTTAAGACTTTAGTCCAGTCTTATCAAGGTAGAAGAGAGCTATTACTCATATAGTCTTTCTTAAACTTTGTCATGTTTGCTTTACAGGAAAATTACAACGCAGAGTGTGAGTTTGTGGAGAGGATCCATGAATTGGGTTATAACACTTACGCATCCCGTCTCTACCGGACTGTACCTAACAAAGCCGGCACCAAGCGCAAAGCCAGTGCAGAGAGACTCTGGTATATCTCAATCAATGGGAAAGGACGACCCAGAAGGGGCTTTAAAACTCGCAGGACACAGAAATCATCTCTCTTTCTGCCCAGAGTATTGGATAACAAAGACCATGAAATGGTCCGACTGTTCCACACCAACGTGAAGTATCGAGAGAGTCTCCTGAGGCCCCTGAGCAAGAACCAGCGAAGAAGGAGAGGACGCTGATGGGGAGGGGGGGAATTTGTATGGGGTCTGGAAGTGACAGAGGGGCTTCAAAATGCTACTAAAAAACCTAACAGCTGTGATTGTGCGACAGGCATTAACATGGACATTTTTTAGACACTGTAAAATAGAACTGAAAGTCACGTCACTTACTTTTAGCTGTTGTAGAATTATTATCTCTGGTAAAAGAGATGTGAGAGAAACTAAGGCACGTTCAAATGTAAATTAGTTGGATGTAATAATTTTGTCAATGACTTTCACAATATCTTTCCTTAAAAAAAAGAAATTTTTATTGTTAGTATTTTCATTCTAACTTGCCATAGGGTATTATCTCGGTGACCTTGTCCTCCCAGATCATATGTATATTTTACACTTACCAGTTTTGTGTCCACAGAGAAATCATAGCACTTTCATGGCTCTTCTGGCAGTTCCTCATAAAAGTCTGCATTCCTATTTTTATGGAATACAGGAGTTAGAAAACTGGTTTATTTCTTAACCTTCGTATATTTATTTTTATTTTATTATCAATCAGTATCAGTTATACTTTTTCCATGACTGTCCAAGAAATGTAAAATCGTAAGCTACTTCACACATTTCAACAGACCTACACATTACTAGAGTATTTTTGAATTTGTTTAATTAAAAACCCAAGACACCTGACCTCGTCATTCAAATAAATGTATGTTGGTAAAGTAGCATTTGCGTTGGCCAAGTTTTAGCAACATATACCTGTTGACGATAGATGTGTGAATATATGTGTATATAAAACTCCTAAAACAGAACCCAAATGTGATGTGAAAGCTGAGTTTGGGGTGTGGACTGAACTTGCAATATAGGAAAACTCAGCACTGGGAAGGAGAATCTTTATCAGGTGCTTCTGTTCAGCTGAGGTTTCTATGGTAAGTCCTAGTTCTAGGTTAAATATGTTGTAACTATTTGAGGGGGAAATAACAGTCATATTGGGCATACAAAAATGGTAAGGACTTGCTAATTTAAGGTGGCTGCTATGTTCTGATTTTCCTTTCTTTTCAAACCCTTGTTACTTTCACACAGTAGTCCTTAAGGGAAAGCTCCGGATCCAGACAGGAGTTAATGATCTTGAGTTTTGGTTCAATCCACATAAACATATGTTTATATAGTTTTTTCTACTCTAATTCTGGAAGTTTTACAAAATTGAGGGGAGTTCACGCACATTAAAAATTTAATTTTGAGCAAGGGTTTAAGCTTTAAGAATTTCTCTTCACAGAAAGGAGACAATAAAGTAGTACAAACATTTCGACATGCTTGACAAGCACAAATAATGATCATTTCAATGAGATTTGGCCTTGTGTTCTTCACTTCCAAGAATTAGGCTTGGATATAGCACAGCTGCAGAAAAGAGACACCGCACTGAATTAAATGTTCAATCTGAATTTAGCAAAAGATCTGTACGTTAAATATGAAATTATATACAGACCTATAGGCGCAAATCCCATTCTGGATCATAGAGACACACAGGTCTTCTTTTGGGCTACCTACTGAATAAAAGTATGATCATTTAAAACTAGGTAGTGAAAATCTTCCGTTACTAAGGGGTGAATTCGGTGAGAGAGAGCAGTGACGTGAGTCCATAGAATGAGTTTACTAAGCCTAGTAGTTAAAGGGTTAGCACTGCTTAATACCTACAAAGGTAAAACCCATGCCTTTATACCACAAAGTATGCTCCATTCCTTTCACCTTTGTATCTTTTCTGTAATATTCTAACATAGAAGGAAACTATGTTTGAATAAGAAAGTCAGAATTCTTTGATGTCTGCTTTCCTTTATACTGACATAATGTAAGAAGCCACTTAAATGGATGATATACATTAAATAATGAAATGTGGTGCACACAGAACAGACCTAGGGTTAAAAAAGGGTACAGAAAGCCATGAACCACGTTCCCAAATTTCCTTGCTTCTATAAAATAAGTGAAACAAGTGGTGGGATCTTCACAGTAGTAACCAGGCAGTAGCATGTGAGGTGCCACTGAAAAAGCTGTGTGAATGAGAAACTTAGAGACTTAAAAAGAAACAGAAGAATCCATATTTTATGTTTGCTCTCCTGTGAACCACGCAAGGTCCAAAGTACCACAGAATTCAAGGTGGTTTTTGAAAGTCGGTTGTATCAGTGAAGAAAATTGTTTTGCATCCTGGGCATCTGGGGTGTTTTGGGGACACATTGTTGACCACGCCAGCTACCTCAGCTCTCTATTTCCCTTCAGCCTACTGGTGGGGGCTGAACAATTTGACTAGGCAGGAAAGAGAGGGATGTAGTGAGTCCTCACAGCTCTCGACCTTCAGGAACAAAACGCAAGAGAAGGAAAGTGTCAGGAAGCCCGTGTGTCAGGGAAAGATCACCCTCAGCTGAAGATCGAGTGAGCTGTTTTCCCCCATGTCTAATTTCTGGGCCATATTTATTTTGGCCACTTTCAGATCTCACCTCGACTTATAAGAAAAACAAGATCCACTGTCAACTTTCTCTCCCCTAAAAATTGCTGTTGTAAAGCTAATGACCCATGACTGCATCAGGTATTTCTGATATGATCCTAATTGTCTAAAGAAAGTGGACAAACACCCGTTTCCTGTGACACAAAGATGGCATCTTTGCGCCAGCTCAAAGTCCATTTCCTATCAAACATTTAGTCCTCCCTCAGCTTTTCTCATGGGCAAGTGCTTGTGCTGACTGTATCCCTTGCTTTTCTGTCTCTGTTTTTATCAGATTTTCCTCTCATTCTTTTCTCCTTCTACTTCTCTTTTACAGAGAGTCAAACTGCCTGCCATAACGCAACAGAAGGTGATTGCTATAGGTGCTATAGGAATAGCATTAATTACAAAACACCTGCTTACTGCTGTCATTGTTTTGAGCTATGTTGCAGGCTTGTTGTAGGAGTATTGCTTTAACTACCTTCCCATAGGAAAGCGCAATGAAGTTTAGCTTAACACATGAACTACATCCTTATTTCAGTTTCAGCTTTCGTTTTTTCTAAAATACTAACACTGAAAAGAAAAAGAGAGGAGAGGGGAGACAAAAGAAAATATACTGAATGGATTGGATACAATGGCATTTTAACTACTGTAGGTAAGTGATGATTTTCACATCAACCTAAAACAATTTTGCTGACATTCTTAGAATTTTTCTTTGCTCAGTTTCATTGCAGCAATTCAAAGGAGATGGGTTTAGGATTTGTCTTTTTTTTTTTTTTTTTTTTATCTTTTAAGAAATATTAATGTCCTTGTTGAAATACTTTTCATTGCACACATTCATTGCTTAATATTCTTTTAGCAGCCTTAAATTCCACAGTCTCCAGATACTGACAGGCTGAAATCCTACCCATGATAATTATCCCAGTTTTATCTTATATCCCATTTTACCTATTTAGACAAGAACCTTATGGGATACCTTACAAGAGGCAGTACCTTTGAGTTACTGTTATTTTCTCCTTAGGGTTATAAAGTCAAGATGTGTCTCCTCTTTTAAAAGTATCTTGAGTGAGTGACATTGTATGTTTTCATCCGATGGCTATTATCAGACTTTTTTTTTGAGGAAGATGTAAACTTTACCCATTTTGGATTGTAGAGTTTCTGCAAACTTCATATTCTCCAGAAGTTCACTAAGTACCCAGTGTTCACACTACACACACTTTGGGAGTGGGTGGGAGGGTTACTTTGGATAACTTCCAGTGCGGTCCTATAGACTGGAAGCCCTTCGGCAGGTGGAGAGGTCTGAGAGGGCCTTTGGGTTGAGCGTCATCAAGAGGGACTCCGCTTCACATGCCCAGCAAATGCTAACATATCTCCAGCTAGCAGGAGACCGTTCTCAAAAGCGTACTCCTGGTTGGAACCAAACGAATCCTGTGGTAGCAAATCCACTGGTTCATACCCCGTAACTGAGTATCTTGAGATCATGATCTTGAGATCATGACTTCAGCCTTCCCTGTCCTGGGTGGCAACTCAGTTACCAGAGCACAAAACTGTAGCTGTTCTCATCCGTGAGCCAGGAAAGGATGGTCACTGCGTATTTATTGCCTATTTCTGGGCAACCTGCTCTAGATGGCCCTGATTGAGGAGAGGGGTTGGACCAGATGCCCTCCAGAGTTCCTGTCCAATGTTAATCTTTCTGTGATTCAGTGATTCAATTAGTTGTACTGAATTCAAACTGATTATTAGTTTGCCCTCACCTTCGGATATTCAGACACATGCTGTGCATTTCAGAGTCCAGTTGCCCATCCCAGCCCCTCGGTTTTCTCTTCACAAACTTCATCTGAAACAAAGCACACTGTTCAGTTTTGGACCAGTTATTCTCTAGCCCATTCTAACGGTCTGGTGTACTAACTACCTGTCCTTTCCCTTAAAATCACTCATTGTACATTCAATTGCCAGATAAAACCAAAAATTGAGCAGCCGGTGGGTGTACTTCTGAAAGCTACTCTTTCAGCTTGCTGTTATCCTTCACCCGCCTTTTCCTGAACTTCACAAGGTACATCCTCTGCATCTCCTTCACTTCCTCCCCATCATAGAAGTCTTTCTGCTGATGCCCTTTCTAGAACAATTTCCTTCCAGTTTTGCACTTCTTTTGAATATAGGTTGTTCTGTAGGAATTATACAAGTTATATAAATATTGCATTACTTTTCCAGTCCCTCATCCACTGTTTGAACTGGACTTGAATGTCATTTTCTTTCATGGGCATGAGGCAGAGAACAGTGCATCAAGGGGTTTTGGCAAACAGTTCTCATTCACTTGCTTCCAGACAGCAGACTTGAGCCTGATCCATGGCTTCTTGATTTATATATGAAGCAGATTTTTTTTAAGATTCCTTTAATCCTTGCTTTAGCAAATCACAGCTCTTCTATTCCAAGCTGTTCAAAACTTCATGTAAAATATTCTGGTCCATGGTGATTATCTTAGTCCTTTTGTGGTTGTCTGTTCATAACAAGCAAGAGTTGTGATTGAAACATAAATAGCTACCCCATGGCAAATACCTAA